ACTAGGAAGACAGAAAGTCATAGCAGCTCTGCCTAACACATAGAAACAAACACAGGGAGGCTGCCAGAATGGACGGACCAAGCAACATGGCCCAAATGAGAGAACAGATCAAAACTCAAGAAAAAAATACTCTTGTTTCTCTTCGGATCATATAAATTTTCATCTCTTACAAAACTCAATAAAAAGAACTAAACAAAAGGGAGATAAGCAATCTATTAGATGCAGAGTTCTAAACACTGGTTATAAGGATGCCCAGGAACTTCATGAGGCCCTCAGCAGCATAAAAAAGATCCAGTCAGAAATGAAGGATACGCTAATTGAAATAAAGAACAATTGACAGGGAAATAATGGTAGAGTGGACTAAGCTGAGAAAGAAATCAATGATTTAGAACACAAGGAAGCAAAAATCAACCAAGTAGAAGAACATGAAGAAAAAAGAACCCCCCAAAACCGAGGATAGTGTAAACAGCCTGCAGGACAACTTCAAGCGTTGCAACATTCGCTCACGTCATAGGGGTGCCAGAAGGAGAAGGGAAAGAGCAAGAAATTAGAAACTGATCTGAAAAAAAATGGTGAAAAACGTCCCTAATTTGATGAAATAAATAGACATGCAAGTCCAGGAAGCACAAAAAGTCCCAGACATGATGGATACAAAGAGGCCCCCTTCAAGACATGACATAATTAAAAGACCAAAAGCTAACGATAGTGAATCTTAAAAGCAACAAGAGTAGAGTAGTTATCTACAGGTGAGTTCCCATAAGATTGTCAGCTGATTTTGAAAAAAAAAAAAAAAAACTTTGCAGGCTAGATGGGATTGGCAAGAAATATTAAAGTCATAAAAAGGAGGGACCTACAGTCAAGATTGCTCTACCCGGCAAAGCTATCATTTAGAATCAAAGGGCAGATGAATGACTCCCCAGACAAAAACAGATTGAAGGAGTTCATCATCACTAAACCATTATTATATGAAATGTTAAAGGGTCTTATTTAAGAAAAAAGATAAAAACTATGAACAAAAAGGCAATAAATACATATCTATTACCAACTGAATCTAAAAAAATAAACTCAGCAAACAAGAACAGAGACAGAATCATGAATATGTAGAGAGTTTTGATGGTTGCCAGATTGGGGGGGGTGGGAATAGGGGAATGAGTGAGGAGGTAAGGGGATTAAGAGGTACAAATAGGTCTTTACAGAATAGCTATGAGGATGTAAAGTACAGTAAAGGAAATGGAGTAGCCAGAGAAGTCATACTCATGAGTCATGGATAAAAACTATGGTGGGAGGACTGCCTGAGGGAGTGGGGTGTGCTGGGTGGAGGGGAGCAAAGGGGAAAAATTGGGAGAACTGTTATGGCATAATCATTATAATATAATTAAAAAACAACAATAAAAGAAAAATTGTTATTAAGAAAAACTAAAATGAAAAATGAATAAAACAGCACTAAAGGTATTCTGGGCCAGCCATGCTGTTTGGAGGAGAGTTTCAGGCGATATAGCAAATGCAAAGGACCTGAGGCAGGTAGGAGCATCCCGAGTTTGTCTGGGGTATGCCATAGACTGGGGAAGAGGGCAAGGAGAGGTGGGCCTTGCCCGCTAGGTGTATGGAGTTGAAACTGTGTTTTAAATGTTATGATAAGCCACTGGAAAGTTTCAAGCAGGGAATTATGGGGTAAGTTTTTCACCACAGCTTTAAACCTCTGTACTACTGTTTAGAGGAGATTGTGGTAGAGCAAGGTAAAATCAGAGAGACCAGTTAGGAAGTTGCTGTTAGTAGCTGGGGTGACAAGTGATAACCATGAGGACAGAGTGAACAGATCAAAGACAGAGCTTACCTGCTAGTATTTACCGAACACTTTCTTTGAGTGAGGAACCGGGAATAAACAAAAATGAGAAAAATGAATTTTACTCTCAAGGGTGTCCAGTGAAAGGCAAGTACTGTGAAGAGTCTTAATCTTTTTCTATGCATTCGTTGAACTTACACAGAATTGTGCTTATATGCCGATGTGAGTTTGTTTTTAACATAAATGGTAATATACTGTACTAGGATTCATTCAATAGTATTTCTTGGTGATCCAGCTAAACATCTGCATAAAAGTCATTCTTTGTAAACAGCCTCATAAGATATCAATGAGCCAGAAGTAGCCACCAGTGGTCAATGGGCCCTTTACAGTTCCTATTTATTCTCCATGCCCTTTCTTTTCTGATTGTGGCTTCCTTTCCTCAGTAAGTTGTAAATACTTTGTAAGCTAAAGCATTCCCTTTTACTCTCTTAAAAATTTTTATTAATTGATATGAGAGGAAGAAACACCAATTTGTTCTATCACTTATTTATGCATTCATTTAAGAGAGAGGAAGGGAGAGAAAGGAACATCAGTGTGACAGAAAAGCATTGACTGGCTGCCTCCTGAACATATCTGGGGATCAAACCTGAAACCTTTCTGCTACAGGATGAAGCTCCAACCAGCTGAGCCACACTGGCCAGGGTGCTGCCTTTCATTTTCTTGATACCCACTTTCTAAAAGGGCTCTCCACACAGGAGCTAAATGCTTGCAACAGCCCGATGAGGAAGCCTTCCAAAATTCTTTGCCCTTGAAATGTTCCTGCCTGGTGCTTATAAGGGACTTTGAATAGTCCTTGAAACTGTAGGCCCGCAGCCTGAGGCAATGTGTCATCTGAGTGCTCTGAGCAGGGAAATAATGAAAAATAATGTTCAGTTGATGTCACAAGCAATTCATCATTCAGACAGTGATAGTTTTCAGGGTGGATTGAAATGAGCTTTTTTTCCTACTTCAAAATAACCTGGAAATAGGCTGCACCCTGCATTCTGGGAGAGGCTTCGGAGGGGGACATGATGGTTAGTTAATATGAAAGCTGGGCTCCCCCTCCAATATTTTCTTATGGAAAATTTCAAACATACAGAAAATCTGGAAGAACCACACAGTGAACACTCCTATACCCACTACCTAGATTCACCCTTAACATTTTACTCTACTATCTTTATCTGTTCATTTGCTTATTTTCCCATTCATGGATGAATCATCAATCCATCTTACTTTCTGATGCATTGTAAAACACACTGCAGATACCAGGGTGCTGCACAACTAAACTTTCAGCATAAGCATCATTAACTAGAGTTCAGTATTGATGGCTTTTAGCTACATTTGATGGAAATTAATATCTCATGAAATGCACAAATCTCAGGTGGACTAGTCTATCAGTTTGATCAACGCCAGCATGGAGAACCTAACATCCTATCAATGCCTGCTAACATCGTCACAGACTAGGATCAAGGGATCACAGGTTTAAGACTTTCATCCCGCTTGGGTGAGAACGGCAAAAAAAAAATCCGGGAACAGCAGAGCCAGGGGAGGGTAAAAGTGCCAACATAAAGCACCCTCAGCAAGTCGGGAGAGGATATTTCCTTTTGCTCTAACATCACTGTTTAGATCTACAAACTTTGAAAACTTTTCCATTTTTATGTATCACTCTGCTTTAGAAATTAAATGAACATAGCGAATCTAGAAAAAGGGTAGAGAAAATTAACTGGAAAAAGCGGGATGGGAAGGGAGGGGTATGTCTCCAGTGAAAAGCACATTCCTTAAGGCGACACTGGAGTTGCATGAGAGCTTTATGGCATGCCGAGAATTTTATAATCCTCTATTACATAAAAATTATGACTCATGTTATAAAAGCGGGGCACTTGGCGAAGGGTCCTGGGGAATAGCCCCCGGCTTTTAAAAACTGCTTTAGAAAGACCGATCAAGGGGGCACAAGTTTCCAATGAAAAACTGAAATGTTTATGCCATGTCACTAAACAGCACCGTCATTGTCATCAACAATTTAACAGTTTCGGCGATAGTTGAAGACGCTGAGTTAAGGTTTTCTTTTTTCTTTCTTTTTTAAATTAAGGCCAAAATCAACATTCATTTTTTTTTATGCTTAAATTTTTTTCTTGGTTAATATGTATGCTGGTACATACATAAAAATTTCCAAGTTTTGAAAATTGGAACATTATAGAAAAGAATAGAGCAGGATTATAATCCCACCATGCAGAGATGAGCCCTATTAACAAACTTTCTGTATTCAGACTTTTCCCATTGGGCATACATTTCATTTCGACAGTGCTTTTAGACAACTTCTTTTAACAACTAGCATTTTCGAAAAAATTAACAGAAAATATTAATATAGTTTTTCCTTTCCTCTGGCAGACTGGATCCAGTAATTGCCAGAGAAAAAGAAGTGTTCTTCATTTTTTAAAAAAGTTGGACAGAAAAGTACTTAAAAAGAGAAACAGAAAACATTACGCCTTTATTTTGGGGAATTAGCAACAAAGAAAGGATTAGCATGGACGGGTACTTTGCAAAAATATTTTTTTTTCCCTCTGGCTCCCGCTAGGGTGAAGGAAGTTCTCGGTTCCGAGAGAGGATGGAACAAAGTGGAAGAGCAAATGACTGGGAATCTCGCCGCTGCGCCGCCGCCCCCACTCCAGCGCCTCACCCCCGGCTCGGAGTACGGGGTCGGCTTTGGGGGCTGCGGAGACAGAGGCGGCCAGCAGGTGCCAGGGCTCTGGCTCCCGATCCCCCGCCCCCCATCCCTCAACCCCACCCGAGCTTGGCCTCGCCCCCTGGCGGGGGAGCGCTAGGTGTAGAGGCTCCCGGGCGGGCGGGGGGCGCCCACCCCACGGGCAGCTGGAAGGAGGCCGAGGGAAGCCTCTGTGCTCCTGCATCGCCGGAGACTGGCAGCGCCTGCACGCACCCTCCCCTCCGCTCGCAGCCCGAGGAACATGTCCGCGGCCCGCGCGCAGAGCAGAGCCCCGGGGAGGAGAGCCCGGGGAGGGCGTGTGCAGTGGCGGCGCCTCCGCTAGTGCCCTCCCTCCTGGGGGAACAGCTGCCGCCGCCGCCACCAGCAGCGCCGGCCGCGGCCGGAGCGAGTCGGCTAGCGCGCGAGGGGGAGGGCTGGGGCGGGGAGGGGGGTGGGCGCAGGGGCGGGAGGGCGTGGGGGAGGGTCTCGCTCTCCCTGAGACCAGAGCCCGGGAGGGAGACCCTGGCGGCGGCGGCGCCTGACACTCGGCACCTCCTGCGGTGCTGCGGGCGGCATGTCCGAGGCTGGCGGGGTCGGACCGGGCGGCGGAGCCGGGGCCGGGGCCGGGGTGGGTGCCGGGCTTGGGGGGCTGCCCCCACAGCCCCCCGCGCCGCCGCCGATGCCGCCGCAGGGCTCCCCGTGCGCAGCCGCCGCCGGGGGCTCGGGCTCCTGCGGACCGGCGACGGCAGTGGCGGCAGCGGGCACCGCCGAAGGACCGGGAGGAGGCGGCTCGGCCCGAATCGCCGTGAAGAAGGCGCAACTGCGCTCCGCTCCGCGGGCCAAGAAACTGGAGAAACTCGGAGTGTACTCCGCCTGCAAGGTACTCGCTCGCGGCTCGCGACCGCCGAAGGGGCTGGGGCCCAGCCCGCGGGACCCCCGCCCTCTCCCCTTCCCCCCGCCCGCCCCTGCCTCCCGCCTCCCGCCTCCCGCCTCCTACCTCCTGCCTCCCGCCTGGGGCCGCTGCACCGCGGAAGTGCTCCTGTCGCCCGCGCCCAGTTAGCTTCTCCTCGGACAGGAGTGCTGTTGGGTTGGAAGAAGGGGGATCACTGAGACCGAGCCTTTCTTGCCTCCGTCTTGGAAGGAGTTACCTATGTACCAGCGCCCCTGGGCTGTCCTGGGGCTTTGTTGCTTTGTAGGAGCTCGCCAGGAGCGCCTTCCAAAGAGTGGAACTGTGCTCACTGTGGCGAGCGCCCCAGGACCAAGGGAACGTCTTGGGGGGGGGGATCTGAAAGCCCCTTCTCGTGCCCTTTCCTCGTGTCCCATTGGGAGGACTTGGGGGAGGGAGTGCGGGTAGGAAAGGCTCGCGGACTCCTGCGCTTTTCCGGAGGCAGACGGGGCGAACGCGCCCACTGGGAAGGTGGGCGCAGAGCCAGGTGAGGGTCCTGGAGCTCCAGGCGCCCTCCGAAGAGGGAGGAGGTACCGTGGGGCGCAGTTACAGCCCAGTCAGTGTTGTATTATTGTTTAGTTAAAATGTTGACCCGGAGGCTGGGGGTGTAAACAGGATTTGGCGAAGTGACACCCCAGCGCCCTGGGCGCTATTGCTCAGTTTGAGGACACACGTTTCTTGCCATAGCCTCTTCATCCCAGCACTCGGCACCCCGTAGTCCCTCAGCTGCAGATCCAGCTGTGGGCGTTGTGCTCCCACGGTGGGAGGATTGCCGGAGGCCGCGGGGCAGCCTGGCCGAGTGCTGTCAGCAGCAGCTTTGTTTTGACAGGGTGACAGCTGAGGGGGGCGGGGACTTGGCCTTGTCAGCTCCTGCGGCCTGTGGCTGAGTCGGGGAAGAGACACCCTCACACACTCACACACCTCCCATGTATTCCTCTTGCTTGCTGCAAACAGGGTCAAGTTCCCAGATTCCAGAGTCCCATAACCGAGCTGCAATGGCTGGCCACTTTTGAATTTTGCAGTAAAGATTATTAACCCTGATAGAACTCTCTACCCAGTTCGGCTGTTTTTAGTATTTTCACACGAGCTTCTCAACCGCAGGAGAATGTCTGTGTGTACCCTCTTCCCACGCCATTCACATCCTCATGTATATGTTGACCACCTAACTGTGAACCCTATACTGGGTCACTAAGTATTTGTCGAATGAATGCAGGATCTATCTCAGTGCTTCTGAAACTTTAATGTTTCAGAAGGAATCACCTGGGGTTAAATGGTTGATTCTAATTCAGTAAGTCTGGGGTGGAGCTGAGATTTATCACCACCTCTCAGGTGGTGTGGTGCTAGTCCACTGATCCCAGGCCAAGTGGCAGGACTCTAGTTCAGGCCTGGATAATACACAGGGTCCGGCAGAAGTAACACCTGCGTGTGGTTGGTAGGGTAATAATGTGGATGCAATAATTTATAGTTTTAATTTGAACATTTCACCTACAATGTCATATCATATGAGTGTGACATTGTTATGTTACAGAATCACATGCTTATGATTCTGTAAAAAAAATATTTTGTAATAAAAAGGGATGTTATTAGTGCCAGACCCTGTTATTATTTGTTTCTTTTGAAGTCAGCTAAGAAAACGGAAACTGACACAATGATGCCACATGGTTGGTGTTTCAGAAGGAATGCAAAAAAGATAAAGTGGGGAGTGTGCTTCTAAGAAAGGTGAAGGGCCAGGAGTTGGTTATGAAGGGAGTTAGTCTAATTAAGAGCAAGGTCAGTTACTCAGTGGACTTGTTTAGCAATCAGAGTTGGCCCGTGTAGGAACTGTCAGTTCAGTGTTTCTGTCCTGGCTTTTTATTGGGTTACTATCACGAGCACCTTCTCTCCCTGTTGCCTATTATTGCCTTAGTATCTGGAAACTTTTCCTGAAGTTTTGGTCCTAGCTGACCTTATGTATGAATATATGTGCCTTTGAGATTTCCAAGAGTGAGATGTAGCACTTTTCCTAAAGTTTGTGACTTGAGTCTTTCATGTTCATATGCACAATCAAACTTACAGGAAAGGAAAAACTCCTTCATTCAACCAGTATTTAAAGGGGTCCCAACTGGGTGCCAAGCGTTGCGCCAGATGCCAGAGCTCTGACACCCAGACTCTGTCCTTCTGGAGTTACTGACTCTTTGTGTGTGTGTGTGTGTGTGCATGTGTTGGGGGCCTGGGGAGGTGGGCAGTGAACCAGTTACAATGACATTTTTTAAAAATTGCTTTCTTAGAGTGGTGTTGGAACTTGTAGCAGGGCAGTTTGTGGGCTGGAGCACCGCTGGGGTAGGAATGGCTTCCTGGAGGAAGTGTCAGCGGGTGTTAAGGACTCTTGGCAGAGCGGAGTCGGGTGAGGCGAGGCTTCTTGTAGTGGAGAAACTGAAAGTAGTTATGAAAGCCTGGAGCTGTGCCAACAGGAGCTAGTGCTCCATTGGCTGGGGCCCCCAGTTTGGGGGTGGGTGTGTGTGTGTGTGGCCAAGAGAGCATCGTGGAATTCAGGAATCCTAACACCTCTGGAGTGACATGATCTCAGATTTGCTTTTATTTTATTTTTTTTAACTACTTGACGGGGCATGAGGGGGTGTAAGAGAGCAGAATCAGTGGTTCTTTTGCAGCTTGCCTGTCTCTATACTTTTGGTATGACTGGCCCCTTGGCAAGTCAGAGAGGGCAGAGAGGTTAGAGAATGAGGAGGGACCTGGAAAGATACAAGGTAGTTTGCTGGGGACTGTTGAAAGAAAAACAGGTCCCAGACCTGATAAAAGATCTGGCCTTTAAACTTCACAAGTGAAACAGAAAAAAGAAGGGAGCTGGTTCACAGACAGGGTGGTGTGCCACACCCTAGAGAGAAGAAAAAAGAAAAAAGAAACAAACAAACTTGTTTTGCAGGATCCAGTGTAGAGTTTTTGCTCTATGTTTTGGCAGCAGAGTTCCGTGGCTGGCATGTGGCACATCGCCAGAATGATCATTAAAAATGTAGGTCTGACTGTGTGTTGCTTCTGCTTAGGCCCCTTTAACCTCTCTTTACTGAGTCCCCAAGGCCCTGCATGGCCTGGTTATTGCTATCTCTGGCCCCTTTTCAAGGTCATGGCTTGCTGCAAGGTTCTCTTCTTTCTAAGGGCCTTTGCACATACTGTTCCCTGGTACTGAAGGTCTTCTCACCTTCTCAACTTTCCTTGCAAATATTAGACTCCTTACATTTCCTTTTTTTTTTTTTTTAAAGAGGGAGGGGAAAGGAGGGACAAAGAGAGAGAAACATCCATGTGAGAAAGAAATGTTGATCCATGATGCCTCTTGCATGTGCCCCTACCCAGGACTGAACCAGTAACCTAGGCATGTGCCCTGACCTGAAATTGAACTGGCGACCTTTCAGTTTGTGGGATGATGCCCAAGTCACTGAGTCACACCAGTCAAGGCTCCTTGCGTTCCCTTTATTGCCTTGTCTAGCCTTCCCACTATAAGTTTTTTGAACCCTCTGCACTTTTTCTTCCTGGTGCTTTGATCAGGTTTGAATTGTGTGATCATTGGATGTATGTTTGTTTCTCTGAATAGATTTTAAGTGAAGTGCTTATTGACTGAATGAAAGAACTAGAGAAGAGAAAACTGAGAGATGATTAGCAGGCTAGTAGTAGTGAAATTTTAACTTGACTGCTTCTCGATAATTTGTTTTGTTTCATGCAGGGCACATCTAGGCACCTCACAGATGTCCATGGGACCATGTTTTTAGTGTTATAAAAGAAACCCTAAGTGAATGTATGGCCCCAAACCCAAATCCCCTTGAAGTAAAGTGTAATTTATCTACTAAAAAATGAAAGTCATGGACTGACTCTTCTTAATGAGATAAGCCATTTATACTTGAGGAGGAGCAGTAGGATTTAGGGCCAGACCACAGAGATCAGAGTTCAAACTGACTGTATTTGAAATTTAGGATATCCAGCTGTGTGACCTTGGACAAGGACTTTACCTCAGCCTCCATTACTTTGTCTGTAAAGTAGGAATGATAATGCTACCCTCATGGTTTAACAGTGAGGATTTAAAATGGGCTAATAGGTTTGAGTCAAGCAGCAGGGTGTCTGGCCCATGTGAGCTCCTTGTAAAGCAGCTCAGATTAGAATACCCTTTTAACTCTGAAGTCAAAAAGAACATGGGACCTAGAGTTTGTAATTTTAGCTCTGCCTCTCGTGTGATCTTGGGCATAATTCAGTTTCTCTCTGAGCCTTGATCAGTTCATCTATAAAATGGGGGCCATAAATTCAACCTTGAAATTAAAAGAAGGTCCCCCAAAGTTCCTGGAGCCTAAAATTGCTGGGTTAATGCTGGCTAAATTGAATTGTCTGGTGTTTGACTCATTGTCTCAGAGTCAGTGGCCACGAAGCATTTAAGGAAAACACAGTTGCTTCAGTTCTTGGCAGAGTGCCATACCTAGAGAGTCGCACAGGCACAGGGCTATACAATTAGCCTTAATTTAAAAAACAATGCTTTATACCGGTGTCCAGCCTGCAGCCCAGAATGGCTATGAATGCAGCCCAACGCAAAAATCATACATGTACTCAGAACTTTCTTTTTTTGCTCATCAGCTTTCATTAGTGTTGACGTATTGAATGTGTGGCCCAGGACAACTCTTCTTCCAGTGTGGCCCAGAGATGCCAAAAGGGTGGTGACACTGTATAAAATGGAGAGAGTGGAGGCAGCAGTGCCACCAAGAGAGAAAAAGTGGCCTCTGTTGGCTGGGGGCTGGTGAATGGGGTACCAGGACAAGCCTTAAAGTTGGGGAGAGTCCCGGTCGCTTTGTACTCGTCAGTCCCTCCCTCAGAGAGCAGATGTCTTTTCCAGCTTGTCACCATCTAGAGCAGTGACTATCTCCCAGGAGGTATTCTGCCTGCAAGGGATATTTAGCCATTGT